CTAGCATCTCAACATGCCTCCTTTAGGCAAGAGATAGAGCAAATGGAAGCCAAGTACACTCAACTGCTAGAGAAATCAGAAGAGAAACACAGCGCAGATCTAAAGGAGATAGGTAAATCAGTAGACAAGACTCTAGAGATCATCTCTCTATTGAGTAACACTGTGAGCAACACTATGGAAATATATACCTCTGATAGTCAACTTCAATTCAAAGAATTCAACAAAGTCAAAGAACAAATAGCGAGTGTCACAGTTGGTCTACAAAAACAGATGTCCCTTCTTCAAATGGACATCAGATCCGCCCTAGCAGTAGCTTCAGCAAATCAGGTAGTAATCAAAGACTACTTGAAGGTGATCATTGACAATCAAAAGGAAGCATACAAGCTGTTCAGACTTATTGGTGCACATTCTGGGAACCGCAAGATGGAAGTGATTCTCCAACAACACAGCCCATCTCCAATACCACAGCTCCCTATTGCAGTCAAAGAAGGAGAAGCATCTTATATCCCTTCTCATCTGAACATGACTAATCTGATCCTTGAAGCACAGCAAAGAAATCCGAAAAACTCAGCACAGCACCTATCCAGCTCAGGACTGGATGACACAGAATTTATAGGTGCAGTTGTTGACCACTTCTCAGATGCTACTCAATCAGAGGAAAGGCGTGAAAATTTAAGGCGCATCAAAAAACTGTGTGGGAACATGCAGGGCATCAGTGAGGTTGCCGGATCTTCAAAACGCAAAAGGAATTGAAGGTTCTTTTCATCAAACCAGGGGGAAAGTATGTGAAAACACTAATTTGTTTTGATGAAAACACCTTCTTGCTTAAACATTGCTTGATTGGTTTAAACATTGCAACATTGCTTCAACAATTGTCTTAATTGCGCTTATTATGCTTAATTATGCTTATCTCAAGTATAATTTTGTCTTAATTATTTTTTCTGAAGCGCATACATTCAGGGGGAATGTAATTCAGGAGGAACTTAACTAGTTTTTGGCTAAAAATTGTTTTTGGCTATGAATTATTGATGAGCTCTAAGCAATGGAAGTCGGATATCTCAGTTTTGGTACTAAAATTGGAAATCTCCGATTCAGGTACTTTGCAAAATCTGTCTTCTTAAACTAAGCTTTAGTCCTTAATTCATTTCCAATTAGCTCTAAAAGTACTGGTCCTTAGGATTTTTATAATGTAAAGGACTTTGGAATAATAGTACCACTTTTCTTTTAAAATTAAAATTCATAATTGTTTTGGTACTACCTCGTCCTATTTAGAAATTAGAACTATAGGGAATGAAAAATGATAGTTTTATTTTGGGCCTTGAGAACCCAATAGGAATAATTTCCCTTTAGTACATAGCTTTCTTTTCTTTTTGGGCCACTCTTTTGGGCTTAGCCAAACTAAAACAGTTACGTCTCTCAAACCAAACGAAACTAATTTTCTAATTGGAACAGTTTCAATTCATTGGTAACTGAAAAAAGAGTCCTTTTACTTTTCAACTTCTTGGAAGTTGAAACTCCTTTACTCTCACCGTTCCAACTACTCTCTTAAAGGAACCCGTGAACCTCCTCCTCCCCTATTTAAATCAAGACATTCCAATCCATTTCCATCACAAACAACTCTCTAAATATGAAAGTCTTCAAGCTCACTGTCTGAGAAAAACACCAAGAAAATACCCTCAATGGAGAAATTTTTCTTTCTCACCCTCATAGACGGCAATGGAGAAAAGCCTAGTGAGAAGGAAAATAAACTAAAGTTTATGGTGCAATTCTCGGCAGTAGAGAAAGTTTATGGTGTAATTCTCGTATTTTTCAGGATTATACCATACACTTTCTTTGGAACAACACTCTCTCTATTTTTCTTGTTATTTTTACCTTGATCTCTTTCCCCTCCCCTTTCCTTTCTTTACTTTTTCTAAATCTTTTTTGAGCAGTCGCCACACTCTTCTTACAAGTTATTTTTTTGTGTGCTGCCTCTGCTCCCTTCTCTCAAAGTGTTCTCAAATTTCTTTTGTTTTTCAAAATCTTTTTTTAAATTTTTTTTTTCCCTTCATCTTTAAAAACCTTATTTTATCTTTTTCACAATCAATTCTCTTTTCCAAAACCTTTTCTTTCTTGTCATTTTATCTCTCTTTTGTTTTCTTCTTTCATTTTTATTTTTATTTTTTTGAGAGATGTGTTGCTTCCAAGATCTTAAATATCCACTTCGGATATTAAAGATCTATCAAACGCAACGCCAACCGCTCAGCCAAGCAGAATCTGCTGAAGCTGAAAACGGTCAATGACAGAAGATATCACAAAATCTCAAGACAAGACTTGGTTTAGGAATTATTGTAATTTGAATTGTATTTGCTTAAGAGTTTTTGTTAACAAGCTGTATATTATGAGAAACTAAAAGAAAGTTATAAAATTAGTTCTCAGTACAGCGATCGGATTTTGATGATGACGCATTTAGAATGTATTAGGGACTTTAGATCTCCCCCAATATTCAATGTAATTTTTCTTTTTAGAAATATTGTCAAAACCGAGCTCTTGAGATTTCCAATAAAGCTGTGATATTTCTTTAAGCGTTTTGATGCCTGAAGACTTAATCAAATTCAGTGATATGAAAATTGGATATCTTGATCGGAAATGTCAGAGACAAGTAAGGATTTCTCAATCAGATGAAAATCCTCAGATCCGGAAGACTACATAAGAACCGGATGTCTCGCTACAACCCGCTGAAGGCTAAGTCATCCAAATCGGAAGACTAGCGCGGATCTCTTTCTCACCCGGAAGTCTGAAAATGACTCCTCCGGATTTGTCAGCTAAGAATCGGAAGACTCATTGAAGAACGGAATTCTCAGAAAGCGGACAAGTGAGAAAAGACTTAGAAAATTATCTAAGTCTTGAATGAAGAAATTCTACCCGTTGGTAAGGAAAAATCAATCTCTTGATTTT